TAAGGTCTGATGTAAAACAACGTGGTGGAGATATTATTCTCTTGAGAAATCTTGTGGACAATTGTTTTCGGAGATCCCAGATTATGTGGGATCACATTGCGCACCAATGTGATTTACGAATTCATAGAGATGTCTGAATGGGCTACACGTTGCCAGTTTTCCGTAATCGCCAAGTCAATCTTAAAAACACTTCTAGAAAAAAATGTCTTTCTTTGTCGCAACTGCATTGCACATTTTTGACATGCAGTTGCATCGTATTCGAAACATTGAAAATAAATCATGATACGCTCTATCATACGCTTCTGCGGTAGTAAATGACATGTTTACAGTTACCATGGTTATGTGACTTGTTTTTGTCGATGAGGCAACTGGATCTGATTGATGGCACTCGAGTTTTTAACATTTTCTTCTATAATTCGAGAACGGGTGGCGATATCGAGATGCGGTTTTCACTAAAATTTAGCAAATTTTAAGGTGACTAAGGGTCCATGAAGTAAATAGTATCGTTCCATTTAACTTTTCTTCAAAAATCACAAAAATATGTAATCGCTGCAGACAACGCTCTCTAGCTCATTTGTTTCAAAGCAAACGGTCTTACTGAAAATATCTTTAAAAAGAGCATAAAATGCTCTTTCAAACAACACCGAAAATATTCAAATCGGTTGAATTGTCTAGGAGATATTAGAACGTAAACATATGAAAACGCATTGGCCTTCCCTTCCCTTATTATGACAAATATAAGAAATATCGCAAAACAAAAGCGATGCGATATTATCCAAGCTATTAAATGATGTTGTCAAAGTTATAGCTCATCGTCTAAGTTTCTGAGATAGCGGGAACTTTATGTTTCTCAATGGCAGTTACGTCCCCTAGCGGCAGAATTACGAACTTCAAAATAATTTCCAGCTATTTCTCTTGGTCACTTTGCTTATAAGGATTTTTTTCCCAAACCTCTAGGCTTTAACGTTCTAGAGATACAGCCGCTCCGTACGCTTAACGGGACAGCCTGTATATATATATATATAGACAGGTAATTCCAATTCGACCACCACCATTGGGATCTGAGAAATCATAAGAAATACAGAAATGGTTAAATGGTGGCAGCAAAGTTGCGTATCTTAGAGGTCATCATTTTTTAACAAAGTTTTTGGATCTAGCTGTTTCAGTTTTTAAAATATGGCCGAAAAACAACAAAATGACTTTCGTTTTTTGCCTATAACTTCCTTACTTTTCGTTTTTTCTTATTTTAAAAAGTAAAACAGCTGGATCCAAAAATTTTTTGAAAAATGATGAGCTCTACGATACGCAACTTTGCCCCCATTTAACCATTTCTGTATCTTTTATAGTTTCTGAGATCCCAATCGAATTTGAATTATCCTGTATACAGGGTGTTTCATTTAAAATGACATATGCTTATATCTCGAAAACCAAAACTCGAATCAAAAAAAGTTTCAAGCAAACTTTTTTTGGTGAAAAGGGGGGCACAAGGTACATATGAGCAGATTTTTTTTCAGGGTTGCCTAAAGGCCTTTCTGAAGTCATTTTCATTTTTTCAAATCTCACATACTTTTTTCTTTCAGTGTCTTGAACAACTTGACAAAATAAGTATTTTTTGCTTAAAATTTTTTTTTCTTAAATTCTGCGTTATGAAGATATCTACAAAAAGAAAAATAAAACCACATTTTTCAAAATGTAATTAAAAAAATTTAATTAATAAATAATAATAAAATAAATTTAATAAATTTTTTTAATAAATTTAATTAATAAAAAAACGATTTAATTAATCGTAAAATAGTACTAAAATTCTTCTTCATTTTTAAAATCACCTTAGAACATTGATTAAAATTTATAAAGTTACCTTTATACATCGATTAAATGCTCAAAATGATGACCATTCCCTTCTAAACATTTCTGAATTCTCATTGAAAACGTTCTCTGCACATTGCCAAGCATTTCTTCAGTTATTGATTCGCAAGCTGCTCTGATACAGTTTTTCATATCGTTTGGTGTTGTTGAAACCTGGTTGTAAACTTTCTCTTTGAGGTAACCCCAAAGAAAGAAATCGGAAGAAGTTAAGTCGGGTGATCTAGCTGGCCAATTCACCGGTCCATTACGTCTTATCCATTTTTCAAGCCAAGAAATGCTTGGCTTGAAACCTCTTTCCAAAGTTATTTCCGACGAGCCAGGTCACCCGATGTACCTGTTCTGGATTTTTTTTGTTGAGCATTCTTAAATAGTATTTCTATGTAAAATGACCCGTTTTCGAGATGATCGCTTGTCTCAAGTTAAATGGACCAACCTGTATACATATACAGCTGTCCAGCAGCGATTGTACAATACTTCACCAGCGTGTTCTCTGATCGAAAATAGACAAAAAAGTCTAATAAATATAGGTCCGAAAATGAACCATTTTCGAGATATTCAAAGTTTTAGTTTCATAAGTTGACCTATTGTTTACCTCATTAATTGTAACGATTTAGATGCAGTAATTATTATTATATGATTATATAATATATATTATTCTTCAGACGCACGGTTAAACCCGAATGTTTCTAGTTCTAGGGTTAGTTCTAGCTTTAATTGCTATTCAGCGCTAAATTGTTGTTAATTCTTATTGAACTAAAACTAGACCAAGAACTAGATAGATTCGGGTTTAACTGTTAGTCTCTTAAGATGGCTAAACTTGAATGTTGTAGCACCAAGGCAAAGCCACTGCGCACTTAAAGAATGTATTTTTGTTTTTATCAAGACATTTTGACACATTTTGTTGAGCAAAATTTTATGTTAAACACTTGCTCCAGTAAGAGTTAACGTGTCTCTTAATTTTCGTGTTTGTTTATTACAGTGTAAGTTTTTATACTTTAATTTTATTTTTTACTTAGGTATTTTAAAATGTTTTGTATCGCTTTATAGAAAACAACTGATGGTGGACCTAATGGTCAAAAACTAGTCCTGTCAATTAAATTAAATAAATAATACCAGTAGAAAAGAGTTTGCTTAATTGTTTTTATATTCCACTTCAAAAACATCAACTTACTCAAACACAACTAAACTGTCTGTCAAACAAAAATCTCTCCACCTTAAAAAGGATCTTTGTAATGGAAAAAGAAAAAATTATAAATAAAATTCAGGTATTTAAATAATTTCTTTCTCGCTATAAAAATTAATATATTCAGCATTCATCAGCTGATGATGGCCTATTAGCCGAAACCGGTTCTGAATATATTAATTTTTATAGGGAGAAAGAAGTTATTTATTTAAATACCTAATTTTTATTTACTTTTATGACTTTCAACATGGTTTACCAAAAATAGAGAAAAAATTTAGTTAAAAATTAAATTGTTTTTATCGTTTGCCATTGCAAAAAAAAATCAAACTTTATTAAAAAAAATCATTAAATAATTTTAAACAATCATTTCTAATTCTCTAGCATAATCTATAGATTGTTCAGCAAGTTCCCTTGAAGGAATGGGTTCCATATGCAATTTTTGTTCTTCAGAGGTAAAATGAAAGAATTTATTTTTATCCAATTTCCAGCTTTTCGTTTGAGTACCAAAAACTTTGGCAGTTTCTTCATTAGGAAGATAAAGCATTCTTGCTGCATCTTTTAAAGATATCTTTTCGTAAGCTTTTTCTAAGCAAACCGAAATCTCCCCACGGATTGTATCCAACAAGATATCCATAAAAAAGTTATAATTAGCTGCTGGAACATTACCTTTAGCTAAAAATATTTTATTATAACTTCCTTCCATTAAATACTGTTCAATAGACAACGGATGGCGGATGTAAACATCGTTTTGAATATGATCTGCTGGCAATAATTCTAATTCAGTATGGAACTCAGCAACGCGATTTTGTGACAACAAAAACAACAAATTTAATCCCAATAATTGATATTTGAAAGATGATTCTGGCAATTGAGTGTTGTAATCAAAATAATAACACTTTAACTGAGCCATATAACGTTCAAACGATGGTATATCTTTAGCTTCAATACTCCATTGTACACCAATTTCCAAAATATCTCTAGCTAATAAAAGCTCTTGTTTGGATGCTGCAGCATTTGATGTTGGCAAAAACATCAAATTAGTTAAACCAATCTAAAATAAAAACGATTTTAATATATAAAAACAAATTTGAACATAACCTTACTTTTAATTCGGCAAGTAAATGCTCACATTTACTTAAATTGGGTTTTGGAGTGTTCCATTCACTTTTTAATTGTTTATATAACGCAGCCACATCGTTTAAGCCCGGCATGTTTTATCGATTTACAAAGAACTAAACGTTTTTATTAAATATTTGAGAAACTTGCGATGACTTGCGAGTCACTTTGACGTTTCTTTGACAGAACGAAAATAATTTAGATTTAGCGCCATCTATGATTTGGTAAATTATATTTTTGTAATAATAAATTTCTTTTTTAATATTTATTTCATTTGTGTAATTTGTGTTTTTAAAACGTTTCAAATTAATTAATATAGTTAATTGGGTTAAAATAAGTTTTTTAAGATTGCGCTTTAACTATATAGGTCCCTGTAGTCGGTAACTACCGTATTTTCTCGAATCTTATCCGCACTCGAATCTAATCCGCACCTCGATTTTAAAAATGCAACGATGGTAAAAAAAGTTGGATTTCCAATGTAATCCACATCCGATTGTAATCCGCATTTGATTTTAGAGCATACAAAATTTGTAAAAAGGGTGCGGATTAGATTCGAGAAAATACGGTAATTTGGTTTTTCCTAAACATCTTGAAAACGTGCATTAATTTTTCTTTATAACTATTAGTAATCGATAGGTTGATTTTTCTTCCTAATTTTAAAAGTATTTATTATCCAAAAAATAATTAAATAAAAATGAAAAGTTAAATTTTGTCAATAACACAGTGTAACAGCCATTCTGGGAGGTGAAAAATTTTAAGTCAGGGTGAAACTACTAGGTCAATATAGTAAAACCTCCAAAAGGTTTGACGTTACCAGGCCTTACTTTTTTTATGACCTTTTATCTTTCTTTCCTTATCTTGATGTTTGTTTGCTTAGTTTTTCAGTTATAAGTTATAACGCAAGAATCATTGATGATTTCTCATTTCATTCTTCAGCAAAGATTAAGGCTCACCTAAGGCTTAAATAAATAATTTTCATTAATATATCCATGTAAAAAATTAAGTAGGAATAATTTTATCGACTGAAATCTTCAAAAAATTGTCAAATTTCGAAAAAAAAAAAAATTCTCTAGAATTGTAACTATAAAAGAGTATTCTAATATAAGTATATAGTAATATAGTAATACTATATTAGAGAGAGAACAATATTTATTTGGAATATAAAAATAATAACTGTAACAAATACGAATAAATAAAAAAATACATACAGGTGCCCATTATGGATGGAATATAGTATATATCTTGGTATCTATCAACTTTATAAAAAAACATTTTATACAAAAGTTGTTTAATATTTTATTTGCCATAATAAGACAGCATTCAATTGTTTTTATTTCAGAAAACAAATGAGCAATGAATAACACTTGAAGTTTTTTAAATGGCAATGTACCCTTTCGTTAGGCTCATTTGATAGAGATTTTTTTTCTCTTTACGATGACGTAAAATTTTAGTACCTTTGGA